TTATTTAGTCCACGCCGTGGGCTCCACGGCCTCATGATGAGGCCCTCATCAATTTTCTTTCACAAAACGAATGCGTCGTGTTTTCAGTTGATGATTTGCTCACCGACGAGCAAGAGCTCCCAGAATCCCTTGGGAACAGCTTAAGATCAGTGTTGCTTACACGAGTCTTGCTGAAATCCTTGAAGTACGTGGTCGAATACCTACTCCCGCAAGTGGCAAACCGAGAATACAGCTTCCACCCCAACAAGAAAACACTAACGAAATATGTTGGCTGGAAAAGCATCGATGAGAAGATATTGAGGTGAGGTGCTTCAGGGCTATGAGGGCCTCCATGGATGTAAATTCCAACATCACCTGGCTGGGGGCCGGTTCAGCTACATCCTCGAGACCGTGCAGCAGATACGTGCGGCTGCATGCAGGGAGGCACTACCAACAGAGTCCACAGAGAGCCCGGTTGCGGTTGCTGAGGAATCCGCACGAGAAGGCTGTGGGACGACAGTAGATGCAGACTCAACATGCACGACCAAGGCCGCGGTAGCCCGTGATGCGTTATCTGATTCGTCTCAGTCGTCGGGTCAATCCGAGGATGATGAGACTCTAGAAGAGTTCCTCGGGTGCCATGCGATGAGGACGACACAATTAAACAATCGCAATTCTGCTGACAGTGAGCCTCCAGCTGCTGTTCCTGAGGTTCTCATGTATGATTTGACTTTGTATGAAGCAGACTCCAGCGACCCTTCCAAGAAGTCTACAGTGTCCGTTCTGCCAGACACTGGAGCAGGAAGGAGCTTCGTGAGTCATGCTTGGTTGAAAATTAATAAATCTGTGGTGCACAACTACAAGCGTACCTGTCAGTCGTTGAAGGTCAAATGCGCTAATGGCACTACCTTCCATACGAATCGACAAGTCTTATTGAAAGTGTCTCGAGATGGTGTGGCTCATCCCTGGTGGTTCTTCGTCACTGATAACCTCTCGCATGCACATATATGTGGTATGGACTTCTTGCGTGGACTGCGTTTCACGTTAAAGCTGACACCGCAGGCGCATGAAGTCGCTACGGTTCAAGAGGGGACTTTGTTCCCAGTGGCTGCCGCCATAGAGGCCATCTTTCGTCGCACTGAAGCGACCTTGGCAGACTTCGGCCAGGATACGGCAGTTTGCACTGCTAAACCCCTTAAGAACGAGGACACCCTAGTCGACATTGTTCGAGATGTCGAGGGTTTGCCGAACTCTCACCCGGAGCCGGTCTAGCGACATGTACACAGGATTCCATGGGTCAGCGAGGCACGGCCAAGCCGACGACGTTCGCTAACTTAGCGACGCTAAGGAGGGCTAAAAAGATGTCTGTTGAGCTGTCAGAAAGGCTGAAAAGGAATCCTGAGGCCTACGGTCAGTGTTGTAAGCAGCTTGATATGCTCGTGCAACGGGGCTACTCTCGAGAAGCTTCGGAGGAGGAGATAAATCACGCATACGGTCTGCTCGTCGTGCGAAAAGCCACATCTTCAACAACTCCTTTACGATTAGTTCTGGACGGCTCCACCTTGCGGGGCTATGTGTCCTCCGGTGTTATTTATGATCGATCGGTGGTGTCACCATTGTTAGTACTCCGTCGCTATGCGTACTTCACGCTAGCTGACTTGGAGAAAGCTATTGTCTGCTCTGATTGTGGAGCGCAAGGCTACTATTGGGAGGGTAGGTGGTATATGTTACTTCGGGCCGCTATGTGCCTCCCTGCTTTTCCTTCTATGTTGCAGACCTCTATGCGGGTCACCCTCCAAGAGTTCGACAATGAAGTTGCCCCTGAGCTCGATATCGGTCCCTACTGTGCCCGATCGTTCATGGATGATATAGCTCAGGGTGCAGAGACCCGCTGCGATAGGGATATGTTGGCAGATGGGGTTCATCGAGTGGTTGTCAGAAACGGCTTCTCCGAGCAGGAATCGAAGCGCCTGCAGAACAGAGTTAATGGTACCGACTCCTCAAGGGACAAAGCTGGCACCCTCTTTGGTGTTCAGTGGGATTCGAAAGAAGATTGTCTGGCAATCGTTCCTGCTCCGCCTTGGAGGGCAAGGCCGAGCGAGGAGATGCACGCTCTATAACGTTGCGATCCTATATATCATGGCTAGATTCTCACTTTGACCCCTTGGGCCTATACCTAGAGGAGGCCATGGCCGGTACTACCGTCCCGGTAGGTTGCTGATGCGGGCGGCTGTGCGTGCTGGCAAGACCATGGACGATCCTCTTGCTCCTGATCTCGTACGTCGAGCTTATTTGCTACAAGATGCTTACGCCAGAACGGTAGGGACCCCGCGATATGTGCAGGGGGACACGCTGGTGGTTGCCTGTGATGCATCTCTTGTAGGCTGGGCTTGCACAGTTACGGACATCGATGGCACGCGACTGTACGCACGGCGCGGTCTCCATGATGTTGGACATGAGAGCTGGTCCATACCGAGGTTAGAGCTCTACGCGCTGGCGGAGGCCCGCAAGACTATCGATAGCGTGCTCTCGGAGGACCCCAAGGTCGAGAAGATTATCCTGCTGAGTGATAGCTCCATTAATGTGCAGCGACTCACCTCTAAAGGCAATATCTCCAGTAAACTGGTTCCGTGGGATGTGCGCACCATTGCTGTCCTGCGTTCGTGGTTGAAAGACGTTCCGGTGGTCCTCGGTCATGTTAAGGGTACTGGGAACCCCTCAGACTGTGCATCGCGTCCTCTGTATCCTAATTCATATGATGAGGAAGCCTATCAGTGACTGATATCGTGGACTGTCCACGGTCGCCAGTCTCCGGGAGAATTCGAGTCTATACGACAACGGCTCGCATCATCTGACTCTGTGCCGGCGGATGTCCGGTTCGACGTGGATTTGCTGGCTGGCTCTTCATGGGGTGATGAGAGAGGTGATGATGACGTGGCTGTCAGGAGCTTGGTAGACGAAGTCCTAACTGAGCAAGGTTCCGACCCCCACTGCAAGCAGATCAGAACTATTCTGGCACATGAGCCGGTAGAGCTCACGGCGGCCGTGACACGGCCACCGAGGTTCAGCGTATACGACGAACATATATCATCGATAAGGATGGGAATATGTGCAGGTCCCATGCGGTTCGCGGGAGTCAATACTACGTTCCCTTGGCGATGCGCTCGGTGGTGATCAGCATCTTGCACGACTTGTATGCTCATCCAGGGTCTAATAAGCTCTACGGCATAGTTCTCAAGCTCTACCATCTATACTGGCCCAAGATGGTTCGCGACTTCGGCAGGCCACCATGTCCTGCGAGGTGTGTGTTAGAAGCAGGCGCCGTAGAGCTGAACCTCCTGCCTTTGGGTCGCAGCTGCGATCCTCCCAATTATGGGAGCTCTTAGCCGTGGATATCGGTGGACCTTATGTTGGTACTACATCGACGAACGGTATGACTAGTTTACCGTCTTACTCTCTCATCTTGACGGAATCGGTAAATAGATATATGGTGGTCCGAGAGCTGTGCCAGTAATTGAGTATCAGACCTTGGATTGCTTAACACAAGAACTCAATTACCAGTAAGTGGTAATCAATAGATAGCAACTGGAATAAAATCTATGAACTTATGTATTACAGCTGATTGGGACTAGCTACAAAGGAGACAAGCTAAGAATCTCACCACAATTACACAGAGCAACCTGCTGACACAACACTTAGCCAAACCGGCACACTCCCGCCCAAAGGTCACTCAGCAGATGGAATGCGCAAGTTAAGCACTGACTCGTCGACTTCTTTCCCATCCTCGAGACGTACTAGCCATACACTATCACTCTTCTTCTTAAGTAACGTCACGGGCTGCCAGCCAGTGTTGAGCTTGCCAAAGATCCCTAGCTGTGGTCGCCACCTAAAGGCTTGTGAATTCTCGCATAATCCCCTTGCTGCATGACGAAGGAATCGACCAAGTAACTTCTCGCGAACGGCACGGCGCTTAAGCCACCAGATATCAGCCAATTCAGCCAATCTCGTTGCACGGCCTTGCTCCAGGATGGATAAATAATCTTCTGTATTAACTTCTGCCCACCACGATGGCGGTTCCAATCCCTCATATACTGCTTTGCGAATACCCTCAGCTTCTTCAATAGCACCAGGATCGCCAATCAAGCGATCATGACCACGACACAATAAAAAAGGGCATAAAGGGCTTGAATCAGTGTAAGGGGTCATATTCACCACCATGGCTGCCTTATAGAATAAACGAAGCAACTCATTCCTAGTAGGCAAC